TCGAACTGCTGTCTCCATCCCGGCTTCCTGGAAATGGCACACACGCTACCTCAAGCTCTGACCTGGAAGGACCCCCTTTTGGGGTTCTCCCTCCCAGCACCCTAGACCAGTCCCAGGCCGCGCCTAATGCCGTCCTCCAGACGCTCCCCTCTCTGCCCCGCCCCGTTTGGAGTTGTCGCCAGGCAACGCATTTACTCCGCCTACCTGGGGAGGGGAGGGGAGGGGGGAAGGAATGGAACTAGTTGGACCGGGTAGGCACCTGAGCGTCTGACAACCCAACCTCAGCGTTTGCCTTTGGTTTTACCCCTTTTTGTCTAGCTGACTCTGTCTAGCTATGTCTCCGCGTCTCTCTAACAGGGTGTTTTCAATATTGCCTGCCCATGAGAATCCCCTGGGAATTTGTGAAAAGTCCTGCTTCTTGAAGTTCTGATTCAGGACTTCAGTCAATCTAAGGTCAGCCATCAGCCTACAGTGAGAGCCCCTGCTGAGGCCTCAGAGTCTCCCACACTCCCTCAGACCCGGGGCTGGCCCGGACTCCTTCTCCCCTTGGATCACTCCCCTATGTTTTATCTGCATTGCCTCTGAGTGGCCTGATTTTCCCTCCTTTTGTCATTGCTGACATCACAGAGGGGAGAGTAGAGCAGGTAGACAGCCTAACACTGCTCCTTGGCCAGACGTGTGGAAGGAGCCAAGTGGCAAGCTTAGGAGTATAGATTGTCAAGGAGTGCACACTAGCCTATCCCCCATAGAACCCAGCCAGAAATTGGGACCCAGTGAAGCCAGTCCTGAGACTGGGACCCAGTGACCTAGCACAGCTCCACTCCTGGGTTCCCTCGTCTCCTGGAAAATACAAACCCTAGTGTCACAATTTCACGGATGGGAAAGAGGCCTGGGGCATTGCTGATGGGAAAGGGATGAGTAATTAATGGTGAAATATGTCACTGTGGTTTGGGAGGCGGAGGCGCGTGTGCATGTGTGCCCAGACGCCATCTGTGCTGAGCCCAGTAGATACCTTAGGCAGCCGGGGAAGGCATGTGGTACACTTGTTCCAGCCAGTGCAGCAGTAAGGTCCCATTCTCCATGCGTTACCCCAGTCGCTACACAAATAGTTGGGGTTGCATTTGTCTGCTGGATTGTAAGGGTGGAGGCATAAGACAGTGTTACTCCTTGTTCTACCCCAGGATCCCAGACTTCCTAAATGTTTCTCCTTTGATCCCCAGCACAAAACTGGATTCTCCCTGATTTCCCTCAGGCCAGTCAAAGCCCAGCCTGGCCCCATAATTGTCTTAGACACTGAGATACATCCCATTTTCTTTATTTTATTTTTTTGTTAATCACCTAAGGGATATTTTTCCATTGATTTTTTTAAAAGAGAGAATGGAAGGGAGGGGGAGAGACACAGAGACAGAAACAGTGAATGTGGTGAGAGAAACACATCAATTGGTTGCCTCCTGCATGTGCCCCAACCTGGGTTGGGGATTGAGCCTGCAACCAATGTACGTGCCCTTGACCCTTGACTGGAATCAAACCCGGGACACTTTAGTCCATGGGCCAACCTTCTATCCACTGAGCCAAAGCAGCTAGGGCTGCAGCCCATTTTCTATCTCAGGCTTGCTTCTACCTGGGTCTGGATCCTTTGAGCTGATTGCTTTTTATCGTGGCACAACCCTCTCTGAATGAGCCGATCTGGAAACTGGGCCTCTTCCCAGTTGTTCCCTCTCTCTCATCTTCCACATTTATTTCCCAAGTTTGCTTATTCTGCCTCCTTAAAACCACTTGAATCTATCCCCTCTTCCAGTCTCCCATGATCTCTCTCTGTATCTCTGCAGTGCCTTAACCCAGAGACTATATAATGTTGTGATCAATAGAATGGACTCTGAAGACAGACTGCTTGTCTTCAGATTTCAGCTCTGCCAGATATTAGCTGTGTGTTAATTTGACTGAGTTAATTTCACTGTATCTGTTTACTCAATTTTAAAATGGGGTAATAGTACTGTCTACTTTATAGGGTTGTTATGAGATCAAAATTAATTAGTATATCTAAATACTTGGAACTTAGAAAACTATTATTTTATTAGCCTACTGGTCTCCTTACCTCATTTTTGAAATCCCACAATCCAATCTCTACTCAAAAGCTCTGGCACTTTTTTTTTTACAGATGTAAATCTGACCAAGACACTTCCCTACTTAAAACCTTTCAAAGCCCTATTCACCTAATCACCCAAGTTTGTCCAACAAGGCCCTCTGTGATCCACTCTCCTAACAGTCTGAAAGAACACATATGAGAGACATCAGGAAAGGAGGTCTAGGAGCCCTAGAGAAAGGGCAAGTGTGCGTATGCGGCATGGCATTGGGATTTGGAGTTCTGGGTTGGTGGGTTGGACATACTGAGTTGGGGACATTCATGTAAAGATGACTATAGTCAGATGGAGAGAGGAATTCTGATGAGAAGTCGAGGCTAGAAATAAAGACTTGGAGTTGTCAGTAAAGACGTTGGTTAGATGAAATGGTATCAGAAGAGGAGTACGGAGAGAAGAGGGCTCAGATTAGCACTCGGAGGAACCCAATTTTTCCAGAATAGTTGACAAGACACCTAGGAAGTTGAGGCATCAGAGAAGCTGGGTAAGGAAGGCGTTTCAAGAAGTAGAGAGTGGTCAGAGAGTGAAATGCATAGGGTGGGTCTCGTAAGGTAAAGGTTGAAGAGTATCATGGATGTGGTAGTTAGAACCACACAAGAGCAGTTTTAATGTTTGAGTGTAGAAGATGCAGACCCCCAGTTTCAACTGGATGAAGATTTTGTCATCAATCTTTTCAACAAGTACTTATGAAGCTTGGTGCTATTTTTTATGTGGAGGAGGCACAGCTGTGATTAAGACATGACTCTCTGCTCTTTTGGGATGTACAGAGTAACAGATCATTAACATCTAATCAAATGAGAAAGATAATTTCTCATAAGGTGTAAGAAGGAGCGAGGAAGTAGATAGAAACAGTGAGTATAGACTGTCTCTGAAAATCTTGGTGATGAAGGGGAGAAGGAAGAGAGACTTTTTAGGCAGGAAGAAATTGGAAAAGGCTTCTAGGTGGAAGGGAAAGAGGTGTGGTAAGGCTGAGGGATGCAGGAGAGATGGGGAACTTGATGAAAAAGGGTCACTAAGAAGTTGGGAGGAGATGGCACTTGGATTTGTTTGGAGGAGGTTAATACTTCCTCTATCTCTGTGGGTATAAGACCTAGGCCTGTTCCAGTTCTTTAGCATAGACAAGGAGCTCCCAGAAGACAGGGCTGAATCTCCTCCAGGGTTAATGTCAGGTCAAGTGGTTTGGGAATCAAGCTGGAGTGGGGGTAGTTAGAGAAGAAGCCCCAGTCATGGGGGAGATAAGACTGAAATATGATCGGGGTAGAGGTCAGAATCCAAGTTGGGTTCAGATGGAGTGTCATTGTTGGGGTCACTGAATAGGGTAAGAGCTGGGCAAGGGGTGAGGCCCTACCTTCCTTTTGAGAGAGCCAGTATTTCTCAGGCAAGTAGGGGTGGCCTGGTATGGAACTCTTATAGGTGTAGTCCCGCACAGCACATTTAACCATCTTCTCTAGGGCTTCCTGATCCACAGGGCGCTGAAAAGTCTTAGGTGGGCCCTGTGCAAGGGGAGAGGGGAGGAAATGTCTAAGTGCACAGAAACTCCAGCCTTGGAGTCCTATTGGACTTAGATCCAGCCACTGTTGAGAAGGTCAGCCCAGGTGGGTCTCCCAACCGCCTCCCTTTTAAAAATTTTATTTATTTTTAAAAGTTGCTACATTTTAATAAACCAAACAGTTCTGGCCATGCATGATGACTATCAGGGACAAAACATATTAGAAATAACCAAAGGCAAACTAAAAAGTTATGGGAAATTCTTTGTTTGAAATGCCAAGGTATTTGGTGAATGTATGTATATAAAATAATTAAGTTCCACCAAAGTTAATTAGAAAAAAACCCCAAACAGGACAACACATGAATATTCTCTCCCCCCAAAAGTAAGAAAAATAAATCAGAAAAAGTCCCAGATTTCAAAACCACTACCTGTGCCTGAGGATTCCCACGCCAGCCTTGGTCCCCTCTGAATAGTTCTCTTATTTGAATTGCCCTTTGCTTCTTTCTTTTCATCTAAGACTAGGGCTTAGAGCCAGGCACTTGACTTCAGTCAGAGTGGTTTTCTGATGTTTTCATTTCTGTCCTTTTTTTTTGACTGGGTGGTTCTTAAGGACAGAGTTGGAAGCTCCTGTTCTCTTTCTTCAGACTGTACACTGCCTGTGTTTAATTTTAACTCAGAAAACTATGATTCTTTATCTATTCTATATACTAATTCCCTGTCAGTCACATGTTGCAAATATCTTCTCTCAGTTTTTGGCTTGTTGTATCTTCATTTTCTCTGTGGTATCTTTTGATGAACAAAAGTTCTTAATATTAACATGGTTGAATTTATTAACCTCTTATGTAGTGCTTTTGTGATTCGTTTAAGAAATCCATCCACACTCTAAGATAATGGAGACAATGTCTTATGTTTTCCTCTAATATAAGCCACAGTTTATTTTCCTTAAGCCTTTAATCTGTGAGGTATTGCTTTTGGGGTTTGGTGTGATTTAGGGATCAATTTTATTTTTATCTATATGGATAACCAATTGTCCCATTAAGTATCTATCTTCTCCCACAGATTTGCAATGTCACCCAAGCTTGGGTGTTGTGCAGTTTCACTGTGAGGCATCTAAATGTGGAATTCCTTCTATTTATTCTGTGGCTGTGGATTCATTTCTTTCATTAGTTCTGGAAAGTTCAGAGTTTTTCCCTCTTCAGATAATGCTTATTCTTTCTGCTTTTTTTTTATAGGACACCAAGTAGATGTGTGTGAATTTTCTCCTATCTTTCATACTGCTTAATGTTTCTTTCATATATCCTATCTCTTTGTCTCTCTGTGCTGCATTCTGGAAAATTTCTTTCATTCTATCTTTGATTCCACTGAGGCTTTTAAGCTGTGTCTAATCTGTTCTTTAACCCATCCAGTATCCCAATATGAATATTTGGTTTTAACACATATGGTTTTCATTTCTAAAATTCCTATTCAGTTCTTTTCTTACATTTGTCTGATATTTTAAAAATACAATCTCCTATTGTTTGCTCATTTTAATAATTTCACATTTTATTTTAAAAATTCATAATTATTTTGTAGTCATTAACTATTAATTTCAATATCTGAAGTCCTTGGAGGTTTAAATTGGTTGTTTCTGCTGACTGTCACATGGTGGTTTGTTTCCTTATAGCTCTTCTTGTGAGCTCAGATTTGATTGGCCTTATTCTAAAGGATACCTGGAAACATACATTGAGAATATTTTTCACCATAGAAGAGATACATTAATTGTGTGTGTGTGTGTGTGTGTGTGTGTGTGTATGTGTGTGTGTGTTGGGGGCAGGGAGCTAGAGATCACTGAACTTTCTGGTTCAGTTTGGAATTTGCAGGTTTAGTTCCTCCGTCTTTTAGCTAGCTGAAGACTTAAACTCCTGCTTGTAGTGCTGACATTTGTCTTCCAGACAATCCTGTCTTCTAAGTATACTTACCACTCACCTCCATGAGAGTACACAACAAAATAAAAATTTTTATGCAGGACCTAGCTGTTTTGAAGCAGGAGGGTTTTCAGAGTTTTCTAGACCACACTGTACTGCCAGAAGCAAAAGCCTTTCCTTCATTCCTTTTTAAAAAATATGTTTTTGTTGATTTCAGAGAGGAAGGGAGAGAGAAACATCAGTAATGAGAGATAATCATTGATCAGATCGCACCCACAACCCAAGCATGTGCCCTGACCGGGAGTGGAACTGAGGCACTCAACCACTGACCCTCGCTGGCGGGCTTTCATTTTTAATCCCACTGCTACTCTGAAGCCGTCTGGCCAGGTTACTAAGGGTTACTACATCCAAGAGATTCCTTTCTGTGTCGACATTTGATACCGACCTTTGTCTAACAATGCTATCTTGGTTGGCTTCTCTGACTTTCTTTCTATCACTGTCTCCTTTTATGGCTCTTCTTCCTCTAGCTACCCTTTAAATATTGATATTCTCCACAGTTCTGGGATTGGTCATTTTCTTATTCTTCCTTCACAATCCTATTCACTCCTATGACTTCAGCTACTACTGATATATTGATGATTTAAAAATATATATCTGTAGCCCAAACCTCTTTCCTTTGCTTCAGAGCTAAGTATATCCAACTATCCACCAGACATATTTTCCTGAAAGTCCTTGAATATTTTTGCCCCCAAATCCATTCCAAATCTCTCTCTATGATTCCAAATCTCAATTTGTAGCACTGTCCATTCCTCCAGTTGCCAGAGCTCCCAATCCAGGAATCATCCTAATCTCTCCCCTCTTCTTTATATACTGATGGTGACCAAGACATGTTGATCTATTTTTTAAAAATTTTTTTCTATTGAGTGTGCAAAAGCAGGCAGGCGCGCTCATATTTTGCTGGTCAGCATGTAAATTATTACAAACCTTATTACAGAAATTTGAAGTGTATATCAAACATTTTTAAAATGTGCAAGTCCTTTCTCCTAACAATTTCATGTCTAGGAATTTATCTTTAGGGAACAGTTGATGCATAAAAAGATAGATATATACAAGAATAATATTAGCAAAATTTTTATAAATAATCTATACTTCCAATAACATATGATTTCTTAAATATACTAGTATCTTGGTACATTCATAAAATAAAATAGTATAGAGTCATTAAAATTATAAAATATGTTTCACAAGGAAAATGACCTGCCATATGGCTATACAAAAAAAGCAAGATTCAAAATATTAGTATACAACATGATACAATTTTCATAAAATATATTTGCTTCCTAAATGGGCATATAATAATAAATTAACAGTGGTTATTTGGGGTTGTGAGATTATAGGCCTTTTTTTCTTTGTGCCTCTTTGAGTTATCCCCATTTTCTGCATTAAGCAACAAATTCCCCTTTTCTCTGCCACAGTCTATCCTTATCTCCCACATACATCCTCCTCCCTCATCCTCTGCCCTCTCACTCTGCTTCCTGCCCTCAGCCCCAACCCCTTCAATCTCCTGCCACTGTAGCCAGAGTGGCCTAACTCACAATCTAATCATGACACTCACAGATTAAAAAACCTGGAGCATTATGTCCTTATTTCTTATCACAGCCTGAGGCTCTTCATGGTCTGCAGGCTCCTCTCCCTTGCACTAGTAGTTCTCAGTCCCTGGTGGGCCCCTGCCCCCAGGCTGCCCTATGGAAGCCTCCTCCCCCTGAATCTCTTAGTAGACCTGCCCTAAAGTCCCAGGAATGCTCTCCTCTTTCCAGCTCTTGGACCATTGCCCATGCCTTTGCTGGGGCATGTTCCACACAGCACAACCCTACTTTATTCACTTGTTTGCTGAGAGCTCCTGAAAGACAGCCTGGCACATGTAGATCCCCAACAAAGTTTGTTGGATGGTGCATACAGCTAATTTCCCTTAGAGCAGTGGTTCTCACCCTTCTGGCCCTTTAAGTACAGTTCCTCATGTTGTGACCCAACCATAAAATTATTTTCGTTGCTACTTCATAACTGTAATGTTGCTACTGTTATGAATCGTAACGTAAATATCTGATATGCAGGATGGTCTTAGGCGACCCCTGTGAAAGGGTTGTTCGACCGCCAAAGGGGTTGCGACCCACAGGTTGAGAACCGCTGCCTTAGACAGTCACCATTAGACTCACAGATCTCTCCATTTTGTGCAAGTGGCATAGACAGATACAAGGAGCCTGATATGCATGCACAAAAACATGACTATTGGACATTTTCTGGCATATCCCTCAGGCAGTCTCAGGACCTTTGCACGTTCTGATCATTCTGCCTGGAACCCTATTCTTTCAGCTCTTCACCTGGCTCTCATCTAGGTCTTCTATGACCTCTATTTGAGTAACTCTCTCTGGTTACTTTCCATTTCCACTACCCTGTTTACTTCCTTTATAGCATTTTGGATAATTTATAAAAGTCTTGTTTATTCCTTGACTTATCTAACTCTTTACATCTCCTAACTTGGTGTAGCAGAGCACTATGGAAGCAGGATCTTGCATTATTTTATATATCATTATAAATTCCACATCTAGGCAAAAGAATAAAAAACACACATGCAAAGCTACAAGTAATTACAAAAGTAACTATAACCACACACTGCCAGTCCATCCAGACATGCATGGCCATACGTATTAGCCTGCCCCTGTCCCCCACCCCAACCTCTACTTACCCGGCTCACAAACTTGTTGGGTTCCCAGGCCCACAGAGGTGGGTCGTTATAGACCTTCTTGATGGAGTTAGGAGCCCTGTAGGAGTCAGTGTAGGTGCTGATGGGGGTCCTGGTCTTTCGGGAGAAGAGGAACATAGTGGGGTCTAGGGAATGCCCAGGTGGGCTCTACCTACCAAGGGCTCCTGCAAACCATCAGTGATTCCCCCCCTTCCAGATCGCCCACACCTCTAGCCTGGCAGGTGCCCTTAGCTGCTATGATTCCCTTCTATGGAGGATCTCTCAACTTCCCCCTCTCACAGCTTTCCTGCTCCTACCCCACCCTGCTACCCCTTCCAGGATGGGCACTGCCCATTATGATATCACTTGGCTTAGTCCCAGCCCTGAGGAAGTGAGGAGGTCCAATTCTCTTCCTGCTCCAGCCTTTTCCTCCCTCAAGACTCTCAAAGGAAACCAATTTCCAAGAGTTCAGAAGGTCCCTGGAGATCTTCGAGGCCAACCTTCTCACTTTGATGAAGATAAGTGGAGGTTCCAAGGGGTCAAGTGACTCACCAGGGTGATGCAGCAGGTCAGTGGCAGGCTCGGCCTGGGAACCCATGAGTGGACGTAGAGTGAAATGTGCCTTCAGAGGATCTGTTTTCTCCCCCTTCCAGCCCACCTGGCCCTGGCCCACACCCCAGGTAGGGAGCTGAGGCTGACTTGTTTGATGCCTTTAATATCGTTATTTGTGTTACACGATACACAATCAAGGATGATGGTCAATACTGCGATGGAAATGTTAAAAAAAATATTATACACGGCTCATGTCTTCCACACACCTTCCTGGAAATAAATTAGTGAGCACGGAGAAACCTGGCTGGGTGGCAGCCAGAGCTGAGGGTTGAGGGAGTGTTAAGGCAGTATCTACAAGGGGGAAGAATGACAGGGGGCAAGCTAAGGCCTCAATTCCTCCCCTCCATCCTCCCAGACAGGGGAGGAGGGAACCACACACTTCCTAGACCCAGAGGTGCTGGCTGCCTCTCCCCACCACTTGTACACTGCCTCAGTTGGAAGTCCTTGCCTGCCAGGGAACTAGGTATGTCCTGCGTGGAGGGAGTGTTCCCTGGTTCCTCAGGGACAGAGGGGTTCAGCAGTGGGCCATAGTCACACAGCAAATCAGCAGCAAAGGTAGCAGTCTAAATGAGCCCTGGTGGGGCCCTACTTGGAAAAGAGGAAGTACCCATGTTCTCGAAGAGTGAGTCAAGAAACCCAAGGTGGTGGTGATAGTAGTAGGAGGCTTGGCGCTGGGGCCCAGATGACAGGGTGTAGGGATCTGACCTTGGTGGGAGAGATGGGCACAGTTGGGGGCTGGTATGGGCCTTGTGGGCCCTGCAGATACCGTCTCTGTCCTTGTCTCCCTTTGGCATTTTCTCATCATCTAACCAGGGTCCCTGTACAAGAGGAGGTAGGGCTGCGTTAGGGGTTGGAGAGCTTCACCTTAGTACTTTGGAGCTGGCGACCCCTGGGTGTAGTACAGGGAGAGCTGCTACCCTTCCTAAGTAGCAGCCTTATTCTCTCATTATCCTCTCTCCCTTCCAGCTCCACCTCCCAGGGAATGGGCTGTGAGGTGGCAGCATGGAAGAATGGAGGGTATACCCCCTGGCCCTGGGATATGGGGTTTGTGGGGGCATAGACCAGAGCAGTCTTAGGCTAACTGTGCTTTCATTTTTCTTTACATGGGGCAGGTCTCTATTGCCCAGTCCCAGGGGAGGACCTTGACTTTCATCATCAGCTTCTCTGGCATCTTCCCCACCCCAGCAACTGCAGCAGAGACAGCAGTACACACATTCTGACTCACAGACACCCCATATACCCACATACATAATATATACTCACACACATACACATTCATAGACACACACACATGTATTCCCAAATAGATCTGCATGCACTCAAACATACACAGGTCCCATAGGAACTCCCCCTTCTCCTTTTCACACAGACATACAACTCAGGAAGCCTCCTAGGTGTACTCAAAGACACACAGAGACCTCCCTATACACCTCCACAGAAATTCCTCTGACAAAGTTTCTTCAGAACTTTCAGACGCTGCTCATTTGACAGCTGAAGCCCAGGGAACGCAGTGGCTTGTTGAAGACCACCGGGACAGTGCCAGCGCTGGGGCTAGAACCAGGCTCTGAGTCCCAGTCCAGGGCGCTCAGTCCACTGCACTGCTGAACAGCCTCTCACACTGTGAACAGACCACACAGTCACTTCCTCACCATCTAGGACAGAAGCAGACATCTAAAAAGACAGGCCCACACAGAGACAGACGCACACCCTGACAGCCTCAGGCACACACGCATCCTATCAAGTGCTCCCTGCCATACACAGGCAGCCATAGCATTTTCCTAAGCTTGCTCCCTTGAAGGTTCTTACTGGGAAGAAGGATTTGAAATCTTGGGCTGGAGTGAGATGGGAATGGGGCATTCGAGGCTAGTGTTACCTCCTGCTTCTAGCCTGGGACAGAGGCCAATGAACAGAAGCATTTGCGTGTGTGAGTGCGCGTGTATGTGTATGTGTGTGTGTGGGGGTGGGGTGGGGAGGGGGTTGGCAGAGAGATACATTGGTTAAGGGCAGGTGAGGACAGATCATATCATCCCAACCATCCCAAACTCTGGCCTGTCTCTAAGGCCTCTTACGCTCAACTCAGAGAACAAGGAAGGAAGGAAGGAAGGAGGGAAGGAAGGAAGGAAGGAAGGAAGGGGTGAATGGGGCAAAGAGGAGGAAATAGGCAGTGATCCGATAGGTGGGGGACAATATTCCACTGGGCAACTTTGCCAGGCTTCCCATCTGGAGATGAGGGGAGAAATGCAAATAGGTACATGGCCAACAGGGGCTGCTGGAGGGGCTCCAAGGTGCTAGACCTTGCCCCCACTCCAATGGGCCTTTCTACCTCAGAGTCCCTTTCCTTACTGGGCTGGGGGTTCATGGCTTCATGGGGTGGGGCCAAGCCCCTGGCTTTGTGATCCCTCCCACTCATTACTGTTGGCCTCCCTGCTGTCCAGTCCCCCACTCTCCCACTGGACTGTAGCTTTGGGGAGAGCAAAAAGGTGCTGGGCAAAGTCCCCCAAGTAACTGGACAAACAGCCCCTTCCCCTCCTCAGTTTCTGGGGTAGAGAGAGACCCGGTTTTGGTTTCTCCGGCTCCATGAACACACAGAGGTACACGTCCTACCATAGGAGGAAGCAATGACTTTTACGAGGTTGGCGGCTGTAGGGGACGCGGGGCCGGGGGGCTGGCAGAAGAGCTGGGGAGGGGTCTGCCCCTGCCCTGTCTAACCTGGCCCCCAGTGGCCCGGCTCCATTGGCTGCGGCAGCCCCACCCACTACTGAATGTGGCAGGCAGTGGAGGACGTGGCCTGGCAGCACATGCAAGTGGGGTTCACGGACTTGGGGGGAATGAGGTCCAGGTCCTCGTCGTCGGGGATCTCATCTAACCGGTAGCCATCCTTCAGCAGCTGGATGTTCAAATCTTGGTTGATCTGCTGTAGACAAAGGGGGGGGAGGTCAGGCTCCAGGGATCCAGGGGCACCAACCACCAGGCCTTCCCCAGATCTGTCCCATCCCAGGTCTCTCCAGAAACCCCTGGCTTCACCCCTAATTCAGTTCGGGCCTCACTTTCTTTACAGGCACTTCCTTGTGAGGCTCTGCCCCGTGACAGACCCCACCCCATTCTATAGGTAACTTTCCACCTCAGGCCCTGTCTCTATTAGGGCCCTGCTCCTACTTGAGGCACATCCCCGTACGGTGTCATCTGTTTTTCATGTTGCATTCTATGTAAGTGACAACCCTGGGTTCAAGTCCCACCCTAATCCCAGGATCCCCTAGGTTGAGGCCAGGGTCTAACAGCCTCACCTTTATTCAGCCCTGCCCCGTTTAGGACCCACCCCCACGGCGGCTCTGCCTGGCTTGGCCCATAGCACCGCTCAGGTGTGATTTGGCATTGGCCCATCCCTGCTTGGAGGGGTGTGTCTAGGGTAGGAAGGGTGGGGCCTCACCTCAGCAGAGGAGTAGCCAGAAGAGGAGTATCTGGACATGTCAAAGTCATCATCGCTGGCCATGGAGAAAAGGAGACAGAGGGAAGTGATTCCTGGAAATTAAATAGAAAACTCCCTGCACCACCCCCTGACCCCCACCAGTCAATACCCCACCCTTCTCCCGCACTTCCAAATAAACAGCTCAATCTAAATGAAAACTGCTTGCTGTACAAATGGAGTTTTAAGACAGGTTCCCTAGCCCCACCTTTCTAAATAAATTGCCACCTTTAACCTCTTTCTGAGTAGAGATGCTATTCCTTTTCCCCCACCTCTCCCCCTTTTTATCTAGGCTCAAATCACCCTGGCTTGTTGAGTTTTCCCAAAGTCCAGGTCTAGCCAGGTGTGTTCCCAGCAGTAGGGCTGCTCCCTTGCAGGGGGCAAGGTATTAAGCATTGAATCAGTGCCCATTCTCAGAGCAGCCATTGGATCAGTTGTCCCTGAATAGCAATAGATTGTACCAGTCCCATTTTCCTCTCTCTGCTCTTCCCCACCTCCAGGTAAAAATTCCAGTCCCTGGGGGCTTCATCCTTGGAGAGTTCCTGGCTGTCTGAGGAATATCTCAATTCTGACACTATAACAGTATGGCCTGTACAGTCCACCTGTATGCTCACACAGGTTCCTGTGGCTTGCCCAGCTGCCCCAACATCCCCATACACACCTGTCAGTGTCAAGGGCTACCAGTGGCTTCTCGTCTGGGCTCTGGTCAAGCGAGGAATAGCCTTTATTGGGAACGACCAGCCTGGGTGGAGAATTTGGGGGATTGGATTGGCAATGGGAGCACACAAGTCTGGTGAGGAATTGGGTTGGGCCCCACCCCACCACTTCCCTTCCCCCTCTCCCTCCCGCTTGGATTCTGTTGAGATTCTCTGCTCTCAGAGAGGAGCTAGGCCTGAGGAAGGAGGGAAGAGAGGAAGGCTCAGGACCAGCATCAGGACAGATGCTGACTGGCAGGGTCCAGGTGGGGTGTGTGTGTGGGGGTGTCTACCTTGTCCGGGCCATGACAGTGTTCTTCTTGGGTTGTTGGATTACAGGGCTACCCATACTTCCATTCTTCAGGGAGCCCTTCCGGGCCAGCTCCCGTTGCTTCTCTGCAGGGGAATATGGGAAGGAAGCTGTGTCCTGCCCCCAGGACCACCCTACCTTACTGCTCAGGGCAGCCTAGGCTGGGCCTCCATTGGGAAACTCTTTGCTTCTGTAGAACTGTGGAGGGATCCTAATTCCAGGCTCTGCTGCTCGGTGGAGACAGTACTTGGCCCTGCACAACCTGAGACAGACAGTGAGGAGCAACGGGAAAGCTGACCCCTGTCTTCCAGGAGCTGTACTCCCATGTGGAGCAGTTAGTGTGTGCTCGATGCCAGAGAAAGGTTAGAGAGGGAGAGATGGAGCAGAAGGATGGGGCCGTCAGGGCCTCCTACAGACGACATCTTGAACTGGAGAGAGCAGGGCATTCTAGGAAGGAGGGATAGTGTATACAGAAATGCATTTAGAAGTGAGCATAATAAGTGTGGATCTGGATGGAATGGAGGGTGAAGATGGAGGACAGGTTGAAAAAGTAAGATACATTTATTCAGTCATTTGTTTATTAACAACATCTATGTCACCAATCCCAGGACCTGTGCTAAGGGGCTAGGGACTCCCTCTGATGACAAACTCAGGGCATGACCTTGAATGCCAGATAGAGGGGTTTGGGATTAATGTGGGAGGAAAAGGAGCCACCAAGGGTTATGGAGTAGGAGAGGCAGAATGGGGCCGGCAGGGTCAGGGGCAAGAGGCTGGGGGAGCCCCTCTGGCTATCCTTCTGACTCTCTGCTAGCCTCTGGAGTTCTCTGAGGCTCCAGAGCCCACCAGATTCGTGGGGCTGGCCACCAGGTGACCTACTGTCTGGTGTGTGGCACTGTTACCAGGAACCAGTAATCTGCTGGTCTGGTTCCTGGTAAAGGCCTTCTACCCTTCCTACTCATCTCAAGTAGAGCTTAGATGTGGGGAAAGGGACTGTTGGGTGGAGAGGGATGCTAGGGGAAAGTACTCATAAAATAACCACAGCTCCGGAGAGGAAGGATGGGTGGGCATTTCCGGCAACCGTGACTCTGGACTTCCCTCTGACTGCCCTGTCTCCGACTCTCTCATCTCCAGGTGGCTGACCCTCTTTACTTTGCCACTGCTCATCTGGCTCCTTCAGTTTTTCCCCAGCCTCTTTTCAGCAGGCAGCAGCTACCATTACCACTCCAAGCCTCTAGGGGGTGCAATTTGCCTTAAAATTCCTGGAGGTGGTGGTGGTGATTTTTCCCCTTAGTGCTACTGGGCAAGGTTTTGAATTTTAATGAGGAGTTCGGTGGTAATGTAACGGAAAAGGAAAAAATTGTTATTTTAAAAGCATGTTTGAAAGTGAAAAAATGCAAAGAATAAACTGGCAAAACCAAACTACAGTCTACTGTGCAACTACTTAAAAGAATGAAATCATTCTCTATAGACTGGCATTGGAAGAAGTTCCAAGGCATTAAGTGGAAAACAAAAACAAAAGAAGTTTCAGAAAATGTGTACATGTTACCACTTATGTTAAATACAACAAAAAGTAAAAGACAGAAAACAAAAACAAAAGAAGTTTCAGAAAATGTGTACAGTATGTTACCACTTATGTTAAATACAACAAAGAGTAAAAGACGGCCTGACGGGTGTGGCTCAGTGGTTAGGCATCGACCTATGAACCAGGTCGTCATGGTTGGATTCCCAGTCAGAGCATATTCCATCCCCAGTGGGGGGTGTGATTCTCTTTCATCATTCATGTTTCTTTCCCTCTCCCTTCCTCTCTGAAATCAATAAAAGTATATATATATTTTTAAAAAGTAAAAAGCAAAAACTTGGAATGATTATCTTGGGAGAAGATGTGATAGGGAGAATAAAAGAAGTTATACTTGTTAGAACACTTGTATTGTTAAATTAAACAATAATATACAAAACTCGCTGTACTTTGAGTCTGATATTTGGAAGAGGAACAAATGCCACTGAGAGAACTGCTCCCTTGTTTAGAAAAACAGCCTGAGGGGTTCTTTAGCTGTGATCTGCAAGGAGAAAAGCAAGGTAAAAAACAAAACAAAGCCTTTTTTCAAAAAAATAAAAGAACAGAACTCTGTGAAAAGGGAGTCCTGGCGGCTGCAGTGGGAGAAGGTTCAGGATAGAAGGTTTAGGCTCTTAGAGCTGCTGAGGGGCCCACTCTTCAGTGGGCAGCTGGAGCCTGCGGAGAAAGGGAAGGCAGAGGAGTTTTGAAGGCTAGTGATTCCCTGTATGTAATCGTAAACTCTCCTGGATGTACTGTGTTGTAATTTCTCTTCACAAACCAAATTTTTAATAAAAGCCTATTATATGAAGCAGCCTTGGTCCCTGAAGAGACAGGGGCAGTGTTCGGCCTAGGGTGAAGTGAGAACAGCAGCTGCTGGAGCTATGGGCAGTGGCTGGGAGCCAAGTGACTTCAAAGAGCAGGCTGTAGCGTCAACTGACTTCAGAATGGACATGAGAAAAACCCCAAGGGAAAGGTGACCCTGGAAAGGGGGAGAGATATTTGAGTTTACTAAAAAACACTAAGAAAAAGCTCCCCGAAACTGGAGCCCACTAGGCCCTGAGATGTCCGGATGGGCTGAGGATGGAATGGGGAGAGTGGCTCAGCTTCTAGGCTTTGGAATCCTCATTCTTTCTAACCCTCAGACATAGCAACTGCCACCCACCTCTAAGGCAGCTTCGCAGCCCGGTTCAGTGTTGAATGGGACCGCCATGCCTTTATCCCTGCCCCTCTCCCCTGGAATAACTGGAGCCATCTTGGCCTCAGAGACGCCTCCTAGAGTTTTGGGTCCTGCAGAGCACTGTAACGTCCCTCTTTGCCTTGCAAGAAATAAGGTACCTGGCAGTGACAGTGATTTGGTGGCTTGAGTCTTGGAACCATCTGGCCCTAGGTGGTTTAATTTGTGGCACCATGTTGCAGACCCAGCCCAGAGCACCTGGTCCATTCCCCGCATCTCTCTCACCCCCCAGACCCACTCACCCAGCTTTACTTGGAGCGGGGATGGTTTGTAATTCATGGCTACTGACTCACCCTCCCGGGCATCACAGTCTCCGTCTGAGATGGAGGCGGCGGCTGGGTCCTGGCAGGGAGAAAGCAGAGAGACAGGAAGTTCAAGGAAGTGAACACAAGAGGCTGTTGCTCTCAGCCCTGAAGCTGGCCTTCCCACTGGACCCCTGGACCTCTGAGAGCATCCGCCCCTGACAGCAGGCAGGAGATTCAGGGAGGGAGAGGCAGACCCGTCCACCTTGAGAGGAAGATCCTGAACTGGGTAGAAGAGCCAAGGATCCCGGCTTCACTTACACTCACCTGGATGTCTATCTTCTAAGTCCTGGGTCATCTGGCCTCCTGTAGAAGGCCCCCCGCAATTCTTGAAGCCCACAGGATCTCCTTCTCCAACCTCCCATACTAGTTGCTTGCTCCCTAGGGCCCTTCCCGTATACTTGTCTGGAAAGGTCTTTCTAGGTTCCTGTGAGTTTAAGTCTGCATTAAGGTCAGAGTAGCTGCTCCCTAAGACAGGCCTTCACACCCCTTCCCCCCTCCATTTCCTCTAGCACTAGACAGGTCCCTTCACAGGATCCAGAGAACTGACTGGCCAACCAGGCCATACAAAAAAGAGTTCTCACGAGGACTTCTCTGTTTCACAGGTGAGTCCTAAAGAATGTCTTCTCGAAAGCCTAAAAGGTTGGCTGTGTATGGTAGGTGAGAAGACAAATACTGACAAATCAGCCGGTGGTGAGTTAGTCCTGTGTTGCTTGCTCATTAATCTAGCCTCACTCTTCCCTCGAAAACACCACAAACCTCTGCTACAGGATCCAGGGCCCTGGCCAACCCTGCCTCAGTCAGTTGGAAAGTCATTCACATTCTCCATGAGACACTGATGACCTATTGATACTGCCATCCAAGGCATCTGCCTAGAGCAGTGATGGCGAACCTTTGGAGCTCGGCGTGTCAGCATTTTGAAAAACCTTAACTTAACTCTGGTGCCGTGTCACATATAGAAATTTTTTGATGTTTGCAACCATAGTAAAACAAAGATGTATATTTTTGATATTTATTTTATATATTTAAATGCTATTTAACAAAGAAAAATCAACCAAAAAAATGAGTTCACGTGTCACCTCTGACACGCGTGTGATAGGTTCGTCATCACTGGCCTAGAACTACAGAGTCTGAGGACTGCAGAGTGGATCCAAGGCTGTGCCTGTTCTGTCTCTGGGGATGTAGAGAGCAGACAGAGAGGCAGGTAGAATGCTGCAGGACTGGCCCCACAGTGTCAGGCCCAGAGATCTGAGTGGCTACGGTTGTACCATTAATAATGCGAATTTTTTCAATAGCTGGAGTTACACATATGTTGATATATATGTGATTTTATATGTATGCTATTTTGTTGTATTGACAACAAGCTTCAAAACTTCATATGTCAAATTTTCTGAAGGTGTTAACATCATAGGTACCGGTTAAAAATGTGGATTGACCCTTTACTAGTTAAAAATGTGGAATTTGTAATCAAAGAAAACATGATAATTTCAAGAGAAACATCAAAAGTGCTTTATTCAAAGTAATGTCCCTCCGCTAGCTACACATTTCCCCCATCTTTCAGGTAATTTGTGAATACTGTTCCAATAGAACTTTTCTTGTTTTGAGGCAGACCATTCAGAGACCCAATTTTCCATTTCTTCATATGTTTTAAAGTGCTGCTCAGAAAATATGTGTGCCATCGATGGGACCAAGTGGTAATTTGAAGGAGCAAGGTCTGTTGAATACAGCGGGTGGGTTAATACTTCGCAGGCAAGATCTTTTAACATGTCTTTAACTGGTTTTGAAGTGTGTGATGGTGTGTCATCATGAAGCAAAATTACTTTGCCGTGTCTTCTGGCACATTCTGGTCATTTCACGATTAAATCGTGGTTCAAATTGATTATTTATTGTCAGTAGCGATCAGTATTAACGGTTTCACCTGGTTTTAGAA